ATATCTCACTAAAGATCAAAGGGGAGGAAACCAAATTGGCTCAGAACAACCAAGAAATAATCATCAGGTGTGGAAAGCATCTTTTTGGACCCAGACCTCATATGCTAGGAGGTTCCTTGACATCAGGGAAGGCCAGGATACATGGAGAACCCCAAAGAATGCCTGGCTTACAGATGCTGAAGGGCACAGGATGCTCCTCCAGAACCAAGAGACTATTGGGCCCTCCCTTTCTTAGATCTGGTACCCTGAACTTGGACTTCTTGCCTCCTAAGCCATAAATGATGTAGTTTGTACCAACCTGTGCTTCTGCCCACTAACCTGCACGTCTCTGCACAGTTTGAATCTACCAGTGGCTCCATGGGAGCAAGATGGACACTGATTGGAAGTTGCCCCCACCCTTTCCAAGCTGTTAAAGTTATCTACTTGTGGTATCTCTATCATTGCCTCACTAGACAACTAAGACATTGAGAGCGGACACTGGATCTAAACTTTGATATTTTCAGGTATCTCATATGTAGTAGTTCAAAGACTTCAGGCTTCAATATGGATTGCATCTCAATGTCAAGAAAACAGAAATTAGATAAGCAACACTGAACTGATAGGCACCATCATAATAGATGGAGAAAAGATTGAAATTGTCAATGACTTCATCTAACTTGAATCCACAATTAATACACTCAGTCATAGCAGTCAGGAGATAAGAAGATGTACTGCACTGTGAGAGTCTGAAGTTAGGGATCTCTCCAAATTACTGAGGACCAATGATGTTAGTTTGAGGACTAAAGTGCACTTGATTCAGTCTTTTCAATCACTTGCTATGTTGCTGAGAGCTGGGCAATGAATAAGGATGACAGAAGAAAAATTGATGTGTTTGAACTATGGAGTTGGGGAAGAGGCCTGAAGATTCTACAGACTGCTCAAAGACAAAATATGTCTTATAGAAGGTGTAGCCAGAGTGTCATTGGAGGCAAGGATGGCGAAACTGTGTCTCCCATACTTTGGGCATGTTGCTAGGAGAATCTATTCTTTGGATAAAGATATCATGCTTTGAAAGTGGGGGGATGGTGAAGGAGAAGATCTTCAACCAGATGGACTGACACAGTGACTGCTGCAATGATGAGAGTGAATGTTGCAATTTCTCTGTGTGTGAGGATGGAACAGGATAGGATGGGGTTTAGATATATTGTTCATAGGGTTCCTATGAGTTGTATTTGACTCTGCAGCACTAACAACATATGAATGTGAAATCTGGACAAATGGACAATAAAGACCGAGGAAAAGAGTGAATTTGAATTATAATACTGGAGAATAAGAATGAATACATGATGGATTGCTAGAAGGAATAGATTTGTCTTAAAAGAAGTGCATCCGGCGAGTTCCTTAGAAGTCAGGATGGTGAGACTTCACCTCCTTACTTTGGACATGTTATCAGCAGGGACCAGTTGTTGGATGACAACATGCTTGGAAAAGTAGAAGGCCAGTGAAAAAGAAGATTTTCAATGAGATACCTCTTAGTAGTGGCTCCAACAATGAACTCAAACAGCATGACTGTCAGGAAGGTGCAGCTCCAGCAATGATAAAAGATTTCTAATTGAGAGGGTGAAATGAAGGTTGCATGTACTTTTAGTATATATTACAAATTGATTTTTTACATATTATACTTGATGATCACCACTGTTCATAGGGTTGCTAGTCAACTGGATATCACGTAACAACCACCTCAACAAAAGTGCCTGTTTTCTCAAATTTATAACTGAAACAAATTGTTTCTTTTAAATGTGATTATCTTGTCTAGTAGTGCCCTTATGAAACTTTTCAAATATGAAAATTTTCCTCCTTTGTGGAATGGCTGCATTTTTCATTTGGCAGGAGCCTTTTACACCCATCATCATCACTGCACCAAAGGATTGCTATGAATTGGGATCAACTAAAAGTCTTCTAATAATCTATTTTACACTAAATTGAAATACTACTCATCATAGATATTCACATAGATTCTTTCTTTCTTCTTCTTCTTCTTCCCCCCTCCCCATTGGTCTATTTATCTACTCAGTTCAATGCATAGGAGCCCTGGTGTCTGCTAGCCAAAAGGTTAATGATTTGAACCTTTGTGGAAGAAAGACCTGATGTGAAAATTACAGTCTAAAAACCCAGTGTGGCAGTTCTATTCTGGTACACTGAGTTTAAATCAATCCAATAACAATTAAAACTTAAGTCCAACTCATTGGAGTCCCCTCTGCAAATTGTTTACATGACTGCTACTAACAGAAAGGTGAGTGCCCACCTAGAAGTGCCTGGGAAGAAATAAATTTGATTATCTATTTCCAAACAACCATCCTTTTGACAGTATACTTGGTAGAGGATAAATGGGGTAAGTAATAATAATGAAATAAATAAATAATTAAAAAAAGAAATGGAAGACCTTCACTGGGATGGCTTGACACCATGGCTACAATTGGGTTCAATATAGCTGTGATTTTGAGGGCTGTACAGGACCAGGTAGTGTCCTGTACCATCCTCTAATCCTAGAAACCTATGGGGCAGGTTTATTCAGTCACAACAGAGCACTAGGAGCTGGAACCAGACTCCACTATTACAAAATAAAAACATTGAACACAGTTCTATTTTGACGCACATGCAGTAGTCATGAATTGGAATATAACCAGGTCTCATTTTTGGGTACTGCTCCGATTAAAGGAGGGTTGGGTTTTTTTTACATTTAAAACATTTTTTAAATGTTTTAAAATTGGTTTTCAAGTAATTTAAAATAGCTTTTGATGCATGGCAGTTTCAGAAGGTGCTGTCCAGCCGACAATGGACATTTTACCCCATCTTGCGCCATCCTCAGTCTCTGCTGTCCTTACTGCCATTGTTGCAGTATTTTCCAAATATTTTTGGTCCTAGTCTTGATATTATCTTTCTAACATATTTTGTGTTATGGTTAAGTAAGCCTGGCCTAGGTATGGTTAAGAAATGCATTAATTTATACCTTTGTCTTTGGCTGGTATTATACAGATAAGGTTAATTTCTGGCTTTAGGGTGTTCCAATAGACACTAATTCCTCACTACAGAAGGAAAAGCCCTTATTAAACTTCCGTGGGAGGTGGCAATTGATTAAGGATGCAGAAGGCAGCTGGAGAAAGGTCCTTTAGAAAGATGGGCGATCCAGATTACAAAGTATAAGGTGACAAACAGTGCAAGAGTAGCCGCGTTTTGACCTACATGATATACATCACAGGAAAAAAAAAAACCCAAAACAAAACTGATAGAGCAGTGCGGTGACCTACAGACTTCACCGTTTTCACCGCCGACATCTCTGATCCGCCTGGATGCTGTGGCAACCTTGCACAATACTTCCGGTACCGATGCCAGTTCGCTTCCTGTCCAGACTGGATCTTGCCCCGCCCCAACTGCGCTCGGCGAGTTCTCATTGGCTTTCTATAGTCAACACTACATTTCCCAGAGGAGCAGGGGTAGTCAAGTCATTCCTCTGTGGGGCACCCGGAGTGCCGCCGGCCAGTCAAAGGGGATTGGAGTCAGTCTACTGCTTTCGATTTTCTATGCAGAGTCACGGAGAGGGAGGCTGCCTTTCGCTGAACCTTTTTGCTGCCCTGTTAGATCCACTGGCAGGAATCGAGCTGCGGTTTCCCCAACGCACACCGTTCGCTCCGAGCGGGGAGACCAGGCTTTGGCACCGGAAACGGGGCACCGGGTGTGACGTCACGGCCGCCGGGCGGCTAGCCTCCCAGAAGGCACCGCGTCCTGGCCGTCTTGTGTAACTGACGGCCGCGAGCTCCAATAACTGCGTGCGGGGACGCGCCGGAGGGCAAGGGACAGGCTTGGCTTCTCCCGCCTGGTCTCCCGGTCTTTTCCTGGCCCTAGGTTCATACACTGTCCCCAGCGAACGCCGCCAGAGGCCCAGAGAGGTGAGGCGGCTCCTTGAGGGTTTGAACTCGGCTGTGGTGGCCTCTAGGGCCTGTTGCGGGGGAAGTCGGCCGGGATAGGGAGCCCTCGTCATATCTCAGGTGATGCTGCCTTTGGGCTTTGCGACAAAGGTTCTCATGGGTTTGTGTGTCCCCGGTGTAGTGCCTTCTCTGTCGCTTTCAGCTGGACTTTGACAGCTATGAGGAGTTGGCAGACATGTATATACCTCGTGGGGCTTTAGCCTTTGCTCCTCTGGAGAGTCATTAACCGCCCCGAAGGGCACGGGAAGGAACTGCCACCGGGGCGCCATTTGGCCACAATTAGTGGCCAGCATGACGTCAAAGCACTAACCCATTGCATCTTCTAGCTTATTTGTGGCTTTGGCAAAGCACCTCTGGTGGGCTGATGTTACCACTTGCCTGTTAACACAAAGCGGGCGGAGGAGGATGGACAGTCTCCCAAGCGATTTACAGCCTCTGAAAACCCAGCAGAGGGTCAGTAGTGAGTCGATACTAAATCAAAGTCACACAAAAACTGGTGGCATAGTCTATAGGGAGTTGCACTGTTAAGCCAAATGTAGCGCTTCTCTGGAGGTTCTAATCCACCGACGGCTCCTATAGGAGGAAAATGGGCAGCCTCCTCCGGTACTATTTACATACAGCTTCTGAAAACCCAGTGAAAGGTAAACTATCAATTGCTACTGGAGAGGGTTGTTTGTTTTTTTTTTTCCTTTTTTTAAAAAAACACATTTTCCCTGGTAGATGGTCCTTGGTTTTCTGCTGGCTACCTCTGCTCCCTTTAGTTCTTTGGGATTGGGTATTAGTCTTTCAGTCTGTGCATCTTTTTAGTTTTTGCTAACAGAACTTTTTACTTATTATTTCCCTGCTACAATTCACTTTCTGATTTAGCTCTCGTGGCCTTACTGACCAGGTTACCTATTGAGGTACAGTCATGTTTGCCAGGCCTTATGTTTAACCTTTGGTTTCAATTGTCTGCAGCTTGGTTGCTTGGAAGACTTCCTCCAGCAAGAAGTGGCTGTTGAAGTCTTACAGAAACAAGTTTGGTTGCAAGGTACAATGGCTACCAAGGTGGTCCCCATGCCCCCCAAGCCAAAGCAGTCCTTTATATTGAAAGTTCCTCCAAATTCCAAGCTGGGCCAAGACCTACTTCGAGATGCCAAGAGTGGGTCCAAGACCATCCACCAACTGGTACTGGAGCATTTCCTCACTTTCTTGCCTAAGCCAGCAGTGATCCAGCCTATTCAGAAAGCCAAGGAGACCTTGGTTATTTTGAAGGATGTGAACTCAAGCCTTCAGAATAGAGGTGAGAAGCCAGTGTTGTTTCATTGGAAGTAGAAGGACTAATGTGGTTAGATAGTAATGGTATCAAGCTAGTTTGATGGGTATTGTAAAAGGAGTTAATCCTATTACATCCATATGTTGAGAAAATAGATTCTTCTCAAACTGGAGCAGACTGCTCAGTGTATAAAATCCAAGAGTAAGCAGGGTGTATTTTTCTATAGTGCCTATTTTATCTGGACATTCTGGGCTAAGATACCCTTTTAGAATAAAGAAATGAGGATGAGTTAGCATATTGACTCCAGTTTATGGGAATTTTAGAAATGCTTGTGAGCATCTTCAGATTTTTGTCATACTTCAGCCTTCCCTTTAATAGCCCGTCTGGGAAATTTTGAAAGTCCATATGGGGAATCATTCTTTTCACAATGAGGAGATCTGCTTGAGTTTAAAACCCTGAGGTTTATGGTTGATGGCAGGATTTAGGAGCAGGCCTTGACTTGCAGAAGAAATGAGAGCAGCTAAGCCATAGGATGTGGAGAGAGGCCCCATATTAGAGTCACTGAGTTTTTTAATAACTACAGTTTTGTCTTCCCCAGTGTATCCTCGTCCGTTAGTTAAACTCCTATCTAGAAAAGGAGCCCCACAGAAACAGGAGAGAATGACTCTATGTTGGAAACCTGAACCTCAGGTAGGTTTGGTTTTCCAGTTTTTTGTTAATATGTCACTGTCTCTTCTCTGTTCTTGGTGCCATTGCTACCCAGCCAACTTGTGGGCTAGTTCTTCACTGCCATCTTGGGCATTTTCTTCTAGTTTATTGCTTCCTATCTTTCACTTTTCTCTGAGCCTGGTTTTATTCTGTGTGTGCTGCATTTCTGGGATGTTTATAAAGCCTTTCTTATGCCCCGTAGTCTCTTCCTTTGATCTTTATGCTCTAGTCTTTCTTACCAGCAGGACTATGAAGGAACCTCCATTACTAAGGAGAGGGAACCTGTTGGTCTTTCAGGAGCCGGTGGTCTTTGAGGATTTGAGTGTATTTCACTCCCAAGAAGAATGTATAAGCCTGGATCCTTCTCAACAGCCTACCTCAGAAAAGGAAGATTCTGGTGTTGGGGAGATGATGCTTCTTGGTAAGAGATCAAATCTTGTCTATTGTGTATCCACAATGTAGGCAACAGGAAACATGTTCTTTTTCTTCATCCTTAACCTGTTGAGACATTACTTGTACCTGCTAAGTGCCTATGCATTTGCCGTATGGTAAAGTCTGACCAGCTGTGAGTGGCCATCTTTCGTGTGTCTTGGAAGCAAAGAGATTTCTTTTGGTAACCAAGGCCAGTTACTGATACACTACTGTCTAATTACGCTAACTGATGACAAATTTACAAAGATCAAACATTCAAATAGATGAAAGGTGCAGGTACATTATTTCTGAACCCATTTTCTGTATCCAGAGTTATTTTTAAGACAGCTAAATTTTAAAATGATTATTTTCACTAGACACATAACTCTTTTTTGTCTTTATTTTTCCCTTCCTTAAATACTCAGTGGCTGTGAAACTTACTAATATAGGTGAATATATATGTTATTCTTGGGAAGATAATACGTAACAGTGCACACTTCTGAGATATTATGTGCCAATTATTTATTTAAGTACTTTGCATCTATTCATTATCTCATGTACTTCTCACAGTAGCACTGTGGGGGCATAGGGATTGTAACTAAGTTATAGAGCAGGGAGTGGGAGCACAGAGTAAGAACTTTGCTAACCTCAGGCAGTGCTTGCACTTGAGGCTTAAGGCTATGTTGCCTTCTTGATACGTTTTTCTTATTTTGGGGGAGTGAATTTCCTGTAAGGTTGGTGAATGGGACCTGTTTTCAGAAATTACCACAAGTGGATGTTTTGTACAAGCAAAAATGAATTCTCAGTTTAGGTGGCTAGAAATCTGATTCAGGGTGCCATGTGGCTCTGGAGGAAGACTCTCTCCATCAGTTTTCTGGTACAATAGTTGCTTCCTTTCAGTATCTCTGGTGGTCTCCATAGGGAACCTGGGTCCAAAGAAGGCACTCAACTCCGCTTTATTCCTTCTTGTTGCTTGCTTCCTGTTAGTGAGCCGAGTGCTCACTTCTCTTTCCTCTCTCTCTTTGGCTTTTTGCTTCTGAAGCTGAACAGAGGTTTTGATAAATGACTACTGAACTTTGTCATTTATTACACTGTGTGGTTGGTGGAGGGCTGTATATTACCCTTGTTGGGTGCTACAACATTGGTTCTGACTCAAAGAGGCCTTGTGTATAGCAGAACAAGCTTTGTCCAGTCCTTTGTCATCCTCACAGTCTCTGGTATGTTTGAGTCCATTGTAGTAACTGCTGTGCCAATTTATCTCATTGAGGATCTCCCTGTTTTGTTTGTTTGTTTTTGTTTTTGTTTTGTTTTTTCTGACCATCTGCTAAATATCAAGTGAATGAACCACTTGGTGGCATGTCCATGAACTTTCTAGCTGTACGTTGTCCAAGGTTGCTCTGGTCCTGAGTAGTATATGATGAGCCTATTTGATGTAGTCAGTAGGGAGTTGTGCTGCTAAGCTAAAGGTGGCAGGCACCTCTCTGGCAGTTCTAATTTACCAACTCCTCGAGAAAAAGATGAACGCTCTCCTCTCGTGTGATTTATTACCTCTGAAAACCCATTGGAGGGATAGCTGTGAGTCAGTTCTGACTCGATGGCAAAGAGTGAATGAGTGAAATGAATTTCCCATAGATTATTATTTTGTATCTTCTTTACTTTATAGAAAAAGAGAATTTTTTTTCCCTCTGGACTTTCCTTGAGTCTCTGGTGGCCTAGTAGTAAGAAGCTGCACTGCAACCCCAAAGGCACACGGTCGACTTCACCAGTTGCTCCATGGGACAAGGGTGAGCAGTCTACTTCCAGGCAATTTACTACCTCTGAAAACCTGCTGGAGGGTCAGTTATGAGTTCGTTCTGACTTGATGACACACAATAACAACAATTTCTTGAGTCTTAGGCAAAGCTAGCTTTTATTTGAATAACTGGTTGGTAGGTATGTTGCCAACTCCAGGAGTATTTTTCCTTATACATTTGGACCTTGAGACCTAGTCTTCATCACCTTCCCCAGAATCCTAAAGCTGGTAATTTAGGCTTAAAGTAATTGGCAAACATTTCACAAAGGCTGTTTTCTTTTCTTTATATTGAATTGTGTTCTGGAGTTAATATTCAGTGAGCTTCAGAGATGCATAATACTCTGTTCTTGTCCTTCATGAAGTGATTTTTGTAAGATAGGTTAACAGAATTGTTCTAGCTAAGGTTTGGACTCAAGCAGAATTTGGAAGGAGGTAGATTTGGTTTTATGTGAGATTGAATTATTTATGTGAGAAAATTATCCTCTGGGTACTTGTAAGTTGGACTTTGGGGCTCAGATGAAAGAATGTGGAGATTTTGGTGTCATTGGTATGTGGATGATATTTGAAATAATATTTGGTTGCTTTGCCAGAGGTAAAGTAGAAGGAATTGAACCTTATGGGGCAGGAGTGAAAAGAGCGCGCCAGATGTAAGAGAAGAGAGAATGTATGTCTCTCTTTAAAATTTTTTTTTGATGCTTCTGAGACAGTAAAGTGATGGCTTTAATGAATAGAAATTGATTTTTTTTTTACAATTTAGGAGGCTAGAGGTCCAAATTCAGGGGCCAGCTCTTAGGGGAAGGCTTTCTCTCTATGAGAAGACTCTTTTTTCCTTCAGCATCTATAGGCCCATTGTTCCTTGGAGAAATCCATGCATCTTCACTTTCCCTTGTGTTGAGCTTTTTTAACACAGGGAACTGGTTCCAAAGAACATTCTCCATTCCTGGTCTTTATTTTTGTTAACTGAAGCCCCTTCCTCTCTGCTTACTTTCCTTCCTTTTATCTCTTGTGAAAGTAAAAAAGACTTATCAGGCCACACCCTAGGCCATTGCCCCTTACATGGGATTTTGTTGTTGCTATGTACCTTTGAGTCTGAACATTCTCATAGCTAAGCCTCCAGTGGGATTTCAGAGGCGATAGATTGCATATGAGGAGATTGGTCAAATTTCTCCTTTGGAGCTGCTGGTGGATTCAAACTATCAGAAAGATGCCACTGTTAGGTTAGTAGCACACTCCCTAAGGACTATAACATCAGAGCTAACATCTCTACATATACATATTTATGAGGACAAAAACAAGATTAATGTAAACGAATACATATTACGCACTTCTAAGAAAGACCATTTGTTAAGAAAGAGCAGGGACCATATGGCCTTGTCTGAACTTTACTGACTTCACAAAGGGGAACTGCCCTGTCAACAGCATCAGTAACACAAACCCAGTTCCCATGATGTCAGACATGTCCTCCACACTCCCATTCTTCTTTCTACCAATCTTACTGCTTTGTTGGCTCCAAAATCCGATGGGATACCTCACAGATCACACAGAACCGTGTTGGGGAAGTCAGAAGCTTATAATCCAGATTAGTAGCTGAATACAGTCAGGACAGCTTCAGAAATATGCACGCAGACACCTCAGCCTTGAACTTCAGGACTTTAGACAAGTGTTATAAAGTTTTTAGTCTTGCCAATATTGGTGTCCCCCCCATCCCCATTTTGACCAGTGTTACAAAGTTCTCAGTCTTGTGAATTATGCCCCCAGTTGCCCAACAAATTTGAGCAAAGGCTTGTAGCTCCAGTTCTAATGGTATAGTAGGCCCAAGATCCCATCTCACATCAGGTCTCTAGTTCAGCTGTGGCTGCTGTTGCGATAGGTTTTGCTGGAGCAGGTATGTCTGGTCTCTTTTGAAGGACATCCTACATTTTCTTGCTGCTGTTTTTCTCCTGGGCGAGGAAGGTCTCTTCTCCTACTGCTGGGTTGCTCAATTTAATGATGAGACTAGCCTGTCCTCTTTGTTCAGTAGGTAGCCAGTTGCCTTGTGGATAGATAATCCTATCCATATGTGAATGTCTTATTCACATATTTCTGCCCATCTACATGGCAAAGTCAAACGAATGGCTAGGAAAGCCACATTGAAAGATAAACTCCACACTAATAGATGATAAAAAGTGCAATAATAAGTATTTTTTGTCTTTTCTATTTTTTAAATTTTATTTTATGTTGGTTTGCATAAAGAATTCGTATACATGCGTTTCCTTCATGTACATTGTTTCACACATTCCTTCATTCACATTGTGTTTCATACAATCATTCCCATATACTGTGTTTTATAAAATCAGTGATCTTTGATCCATGCCCACTATCACCTTGTCTTTTCAGGTCACCACTAGATTTATTTTTCACTCTCTACCTCCACTCACTTGACTTTGTGACCCCATAAATTTCTCCTCTTTCCACCCTTCATACCTCTGCCCTGCTTCCCTTGCTCCCCTTGGACTTTCATCTCCATCTTACTAGTTATTCTTCTGTTTTCACAACAGTGGTTTTATGCAGTATTTGTCCTTCTGAGCATAATGCTCTGTGGCCTCTCCTGTATTATGTAGTTTTTGAAATGGTTGCTCCTGAGCACTACATGATATTCCATTGTGTACCTCAGTTTCTCAATCCATTCATTTATTGATGGATATTTGGGCTTCTTCCATGTTCTTGGTACAGTAATAATTGTGCTGTGAATAACAGTGTACAAACATAAATTTGTATCTCAGTTTTGTTTTCCCTAGGGTATAATTCCTAGTCCTGCTATAACTGGGTCATATAGGATTTCTATTTTCTGCTTTTCTTTTTTAAACCATAGAAAATGTTTAATTTTTTTTCATTGTTGCACATTTTCTTTTCCTCCTCCCCTCCCCTATCTCCAAGGTCTTCCCACAATGCACCCTTGTTTCATATTATTGTCATTGTTCAGCTTTTTGAGGAAATGCCAGACTTCTTTGCAGAGTTAATTGTACCATTTTAAGAGAGTTCCAATCTCTCCACATACTCTCCAACATTTATTGCTTGCCTTACTATTAAACTTTGCCATTGCTGCTGGTATCTCATGGTGGATTTTTTTATTTACATCTCTCTTATTGCCAGTGATTTTGAGCATTTTCTCATGTGTCTGTTGGCCATCTGAATTGAATGTCTTCCTTTGTGAAAAATCTTTCCATATCTTTTCCTTATGGGGAGGCCTTGTAGTATTCTGTAAACTTTTACTGTAAGACCCTTGTCTGAAATGTCCAAATGTTTGCTCCCTATTAGTAGGTTTTCCTATTGGAAAAAGTTGAACATTTGCCCTTAATCTTTAGAAGATCCCATTTATCAATGCTGGTTGTGCTTTTCTGGATGTATTTGCCAGCCTGTTTATACCATAGGCTAGGCCTTCTATGTTTGGTCCCATTTTTGTCTCTTATGATCCTTACGGTTTTCGGCATTACTGCTATGATCCACCTTGAGTTGATTTTTGTGTATTGATATTGATATTGAGATGTGGATCCTGTTCAGCCTTTTTAGCTTTGTCCAGTTTTACCAGCACCTTCTGTTGAAGAGGCTATTGTGTCCCCATTTGGTAGGTTTTGTTTTTTTGTCATATACCAGTTGACTGTAGATAGATGGGTTAATTTCTGGCTTCCTGATTCTGTTCCATTGGTCTATGTACTTGCCATTGTACCAATGCCATGTTCTTTTGGTTATTACAGCTATCTAGTAGGCTGAGATCAAGGAGTATATGCCTTCCACTAGATTGCTTTTGCTAAGATTGTCATTTTCACTATCTTGAGTCTTCTCAAGATGAGCAGGGGACATTTTTCCATTTATATAGCTCTCTTATTGTTTCTCACAGTAGTAGTTAGTAGTTTTCTTTATAAAGGTCTTTTGTGACTCTAGGTAGGTTTATTCCCAAGTATTTCAATTTGTGATTGGCTATTGCAAATGGTATTGTTTTTTTAGTTTCCTTCGTTACTATAGAGAATCCCACTAAGTTTTGCATATTGATCTTGTCTCCTGCCATTCTACTAAATTGGTCTACTAGGTCTAACAGTAGTTCTTGGGGTTTTCTGTGTACACTGTTGTATCATCTGCATATAGCAACAGCTATACCACCTCTTTGCAGATCTGGATGCCTCTTCTTTCATTCTCTTGCTGTATTGCCTTAGCAGATATTTCTTGTACAATATTGAATAAGAGTGGTGAAAGTGGACATCGTTGTCTGCTCTCTTTGCAGAAGGAGGGCCGTTAGTCTTTTTTCATTGAGAATGATGTTGGCTCTTGGTTTTGTGTATATTTTTCATTATGTTGAGGAAATTATCTTCTATTCCTATTTTGTTGAGTGTTTTAATCAGGAAAGGTGTCAGATTTTGTCAAAGACTTTTCTTTGTCAACTGATAGATCATGTGATTCTTAGTCTTTGCTCTGATAATGTGATAAATTACATTGATTGTTTTCATTATGTTGAATCATCCTTGTATACCTGTTAAGATGGAGGTTCAGTGAAGGAGAGGAATACCCCTCATGAAGTGGATTGATACATTGACTTCAGCAGTGGGCTGTACTATGTCAGAGATGATGAGTCACAGTTGACCATAAGTAGTAGTAGTAGTAGTTCATTGTTTCTGAATTTGTTGAGACTTGCTTCTGGTCAGTTTTGGAGAATGTACCATGTCCATTTGAGAAGAAAGTAAACTGACTTAGTTGGGTGCAGTACCCTGATTACACTTATCAGATTGAGTTGGCTAATTGTATAGTTGATTATTCAGTTTCTTTGTAAAGTTTCTTTTAAATTAACCAGTCTTTTGGTGGCCTATAGTGATGAAGGATGAAGTTCAAGCTGCTCTGAAGGAATTGGCAAAAAACAAGGCCCCAAGAATTGACAGGATACCAGTGGACATATTTCAGCAATCAGATGCTGCCCTGGACTCATTCACCAGGTTATACCCAGAAATCTGGAAGGTAACTACCCAGCCAGCTGATTGGAAAAGACCTCTATTTATTCCTGTTCCAAAACAGGTGACTCAACAGAGGGAAATTATTATCACTAATATTGGAACAATATCACTAATATTATATGCAAATAAGATTCTATGAAGATTATCCAGAAATGACTGGAGAATTGCCAGATGTGCAGGCTGAGTTTTGATGATGCTGTGGCACTAGGGACATTATAGTCAACATTAGATGGATCTTGATTGAAAGCA